GACATACAAAGATGAATAAGACATTATTATACAATTACTATATGCTTTATAATTAATGTTTTACAGTGTATCAAACAAATGAATAGTAGTGATTTCATAAAACATGAAATTTAGGATTTTGCTTTTTCCTTTAACTAGTGGGTACATATAGAAATGCCACGTGTATTTAGCAATCTCAAGAAATGGTTCTAATTTTTATTTGATTTTAAACATTTTTGTTAGAAACATAGTATTTCCCAAAGTCAGAATATTTTAAGCTTTAGTAGATTGTTATTTTAAACTATTATTTTTAAGCCATGAAAGCTTAAAACTGCACTAAGACTTTTGAGAAAGCTTGTGCTTCTAAAATGATTTGGATGTTCCACTGACTTTTAATAAACAATACATTAAACTTTTTCTTTGTAACTCAGGGACCTAATTATGGACTTCAGTTATTATATTATTCCATAATATAATATTATCTTCAAAGGCAAGTGAGATTTAGAGGCTTTTTTGCCCCTAAATAAATGACCCCAGGGTACTGACCTTTCCAATTAGTGTTTCTGCTGTCTTCCTTCTTTCAGTCAGCTACCATTTTATGCTATTGTAGCTGGGTTTGCTTCTAACAGTCCCTAATACTTCTCTTCTGTAATAAACTAGATCAGAATTTATAGCTGCTAGAGGAAACTAGAAAACCCAAGTTAGTCTTATTTTGCACATGTCTATGGTATTATAGGGGTTCCTTTAGTCTCAAACCGTGATTTCATTTATATAGGAAAACTCTTGTGAAAATTCTCTCCATTAATACATTTCAACATCTCATATGTTAGCATATAGTCTTAGAGGCTATTGAGAGTTGCCTGAGACACTAAGAGGTTAAATTACTTGCTAATATGTCACATAGCTAGTATGGCAGAGCCCCCCATCCAGCATTGACCTCACTGTCTCTTGCTATGCCAACTAACTCATTAAATCTGTTCAATTTTTAAAATACTCCTAAATCTCACAGAGCCACTCATTCTCATAAATAAGACAGTTGGGTTCTAAGTTCACTTATGCTGTCCTTCCCTTACCCCTGGTGTTCCATTTTTCCTAACAGAAACCACCAGAAGCTCAAAATGATGCCATGTCATGGCTTTGTCATCACTACTAGACCTACATAAGCTAGTCGTGTAGGCTGGGGTTGGTTTGTCTCTGCATGACCCTCCAATCTCTCCAGAGATTTAGAGCCAAAGACACCCACCAAAACTGCCAGGAACCCACATGAAGACATAAGCACAAAACCATATGATGTCATCACACTCAGATTCTGTGTACACCAATCATTCTCTCTTCTTCTTGTTCTCAAACTAGTGTTCTGTTCCCATGTACACTCAAAAACTGATTGACATTCTATTATAAACACCCACCCCTACTACACCAATTACCAGCGACAAAATAACATCCTCACCATGCTTTATGAGGGGCAAGAGGCTGAGGGAGAAGGGAACAACAAACAAGGTGCTAAGACTCCCTTCAACTCAATTTCCCAGCTGCTATCTCTTCAGAGCCTGTTAATTAAAACATAGCCTACTCCTCTTCTTTCACTTAAATGACTGGATTTTGTGACATCTGTTTTTCCTCATTGTCCAAATTTCTGTGCTCATTTCCAGGTTCATGTCTTCCAGACAGTTAAGGCTGTTTGCTGGAACTTCCTATCCGATAAATGGGGAGTTAATTTATTTACTTTTTTAAATTCTGCAATTAAAAAAAGGGGGAAAAGTCTAGCATCAGACAGAAACTAAGTTCCATCTATTAATGTCAAATGTTTTCCAAGAACGTGATTAACGTAAGAGAATTCAAAGATCCTCTAATTTTTTACGACTTTCCATAGTGTGTCAGGCTTGAATCCCTGTGGTGTGAACTGCAGGGTGACATAAAGTTTTATTTCCATTTGAACTCCTGAAGCTGTTTTACAATCCCTGCTGGGCAGCTTTCCACAACTTTTGGAGTTCACCTTGGATTTTAGCTAATGGCAATGTACTACCACCATAATCTACACGGGACAAGCAGCTTTCTAGGGAAGGAGGATATCTTTTTTTCCTTAGAAATCCTCCATGCCCATGTCAAAATCACCATGTCTTCTAATTGTAGCAAGTAATGCTCTTAACTTGGCTATTGGAGAAACAGGTCATCCAATCTTGCTAATAAATCCTTCAAGGTTTTTGCCACACAGACTCAGAAGCTTACAATTCACATGCAGAAGAGTTTGACTTTGGGTCTCTGGGCTAAAAGAAGACCAACAGGAAGAGTACAAATAGTCACTCCACTAGTCACTGAAAGGAAAAGCATGAGTAGTGTCAGAGGTGATGTACAGACCATTACTTGACTAACAGAAAATTATATCTCTGCTGGTGGTACAGTGTGAAACACTTCAACATTAGGGTGCACATGGACCACAAAATGATCGGAGTTTCAAAATTTTAAGTTCAACCAAAATCTCTGAGTCTGAATAATTGTTTATCTTGGAAGCAGCTGGGAGGCATAGTAGATAAAGCACTGGACGTGGAGTCATGAAGACCTGAGTTCATATCTGGCCTCAAACACTTACTAGCTGTGTGACCCTGTGCAAGTCACTTAACCTCCATTTCTTCAATTGTACAAAAGGGATAATAACAGTATCTATGTAGCAAGACTGTTGTGAGGATCAAATAAGATAATGTTGGTAAGACCTGGCACAAAATAGGTACTGCAAAAATGCTTGTTCCCTTCCTTTCTCAGACATAACTGTGAGGAAAACACTTCTTAAAAATTGTATATGCTCTTATTATGAATTCAACAAATACCAAGGAACATGAACATTTCTAAATACAAAGAACAGAAAAACAGAATTGTATATGAAATTGTGATTCTCACTATATACAGATAAAAGTATATAATCAGTTCAACATGTTAGTTCTAGACCTGTCTCACTTATCTACGTTGCCCTCTAAACTTCTCTCTGATCTCTTCTGTGCATTTTCTTTAAATGTTTCACAAATGCTATTTTCTTTCTTCTTTCTGACATTACCATCATATTCTTTCCTTCCCCTTCCCAGTTCTCTTTCCACAAAAAAGAAAGAAAAAGAAATTAACCTTCCCTTGTAATAAGCTAGCATTGTCAAGCAAAACAAGTCTCTACATATTGGTCATATCTGAAAATGAAAATTCATGCTACACCTCTCATCCATCAAGATGATGAGAATCATGCTTCATCATGAGCCCTCTGGAGTCACGGCTGTTGTTGATCAGATTTCTTAAGTCTTTCAAAGTTGTGTTTCTTTACAAAGTTGTACTTGTTGCAATAGAGTAGAAAGACCATTGACTCTGGAATGAGAAGAGCTGGGTTCAAATCCCGCCTTCAAATGTCACACCAGCTGTGTGATTTGGGATAAGTCATTTAGTCTCCATTGACCTTACTTTCCTATAAATCTATAAAATTAAGAGATTGGGCTAGACAGCCTCTGAGTTCCCTTCCAGTTCTAGTATCATGATCCTAGAGTCACCTCCTTTTGCATCAGTTCATAGATCACTTCCCAGTTTTTTCTTAATCCCTTCATAATTTTTTGCAGTGAAATAATATTCTATTCCATTAATAATCAATGATTTGTTCAGCCATTCCCCAATTAATAGACACTTCCTTAGAGGAAAGTGTCTAATAAACAGTAAAGCATTTTACAAGAATAAGCTACTGTTGATATTGTAATTATTATTCACTCTACTGTTTCATCAGTCCCTTTCAAGTCTTTCAAAACACCCCTTAACTCTACTGTCTTCCCTCTGTTGATTTCCTAATTCATCCTACATATAGCTTGTTTGTACATAGTTGCCCATTGTCTCCACATTAGATGGTAAATTCCATTGGATCAGGGATGTCTTTTGCTTTTCTTTGTATTCCCAGTCCTTAGCACAGTGCCTAGCACAAAGTAGGTGCTCAATAAATGTTCATTGATCAATTGATTGAATGTTCTCCAGTTCTCCCTTCTAAAAGGCAGATTTCTTTTGTTCTGTTTTTAACTTTTCCTGGAAGACCCCACAATCAAAGAATAGGTTTGAATATAGGCCACACATTTATCCCCACATTTGATTTGCATAAAACTGAAGTGTGAGCTTGCAACTTGCATACTTTTTAAATTTTTTGATACATGTATATACATACACATAAAAATACATAGACAAACATATACACACACATATACATATACATATACATATACATATACATATACATATACATATACATATACATATACATATACATATACATATACATATACATATACATATACATATACATATACACATGCATATGCATATGCATATGCATATGCATATACATATACATATACATATGCATATACATATGCATATACATATATACATATACATATGCATATACATATACATACACATATACATATGCATATACATATACATATACATATACATATACATATACATATACATATACATATACATATACATATACATATACATATACATATACATATACATATACATATACATATACATATACATATACATATACATATACATATGTATGTGTATATACACACACATATGCATTTTGGTAGGTATTGTGAAGGTGAATAAAGTACTGGACTTGTAGTTAGGAAAAACTGGATTCAAATCCTGCTTCTGACATTTGCTAGGTATGTGACCCCAAATAAGTTATTTAACCCAACAAGTTACCCTCTGAAGGGAAATAAAATGCCTTGTGGCAGGAGTTCCCACAATGGGGAATACCCTGCACTGACAAAACCACAAATCATGTATCTATATATTTTTTTTCTTTCACAGATATACCATTTTAGGGTTGAACCCCACATCTGAGTATTGTTAGAATATGACAGCTCTTTATATATCTTGAATGACTCTTGAGGTTTCATGTTTTCATGTGAAACTTTGGGTGTGAAGGTGGCCAAGCTTTCTGTGAGCCTGTCACTTGTATCAGTAGTAATCTTAATCAAAAAAAGGAGTACCTATGGTGGTGATGACTGTCCCAGCAAAGAAAAAGGCACTTCCAAGGTCCCAGTGACTACTGTTGTTGGAAGAATTTCCTATTGGACTGACTCCAGCATTGTCCGCATCGAGCGCATGCTGCAAAGAAAGAGAGACAAAGTGAGCCTTGCTTCGAAAAATCATTTCTTCTATATTACATTTTCATCATGTCATTCCAGTGATCTAGAACTCTTAGTGGCTCCTCACTGACTATTAGAGCAAGTGCCAATTTTTTCTCCCAGCATTCAACATTCATTCTGAAGTGGCCACGTTTACCTATCCAACCTCATTTCCCACTACTTCCCCACATGAACCCTTCATTCTTCACTGCTTCACATTTATGTTCCATTCCGTCCCACCTCTTTGCTTTAGCTCATGCCATTTTCCCTGCCTGAGGCTCAGCGTGGTCTTTTGAGTCCTGGACTAAGAATCAAGAGATGTGGGTTATAGCCCTCGTAAGGGTCTCTTTCCCTCGGCTTCAGTTTCTTTATTTATCAAATGAGGGAATTGGATTAGATATTCTCTAAGGATCTTTCTAGTTATAACATTCTATCTATAAGTCTAGGGGATGCTATTTCCTCTCCTCTCTAGCTTTCCCAATCTTACCCATCCTTCATGTCTTCTATAAAGCCTTCCTCAAATACCCTTAGCCCATACCAATCTATCCCTGTTCCTCTCCTCTGTGGTGATTATCTATACCAACACTTTTGCATCTAATCACATAGTGTTGCTTTCTAATTATTTTATGTGTTTCTACGGGCCTCAGTTTCTTAATCTGTAAACTGTGGACATTGAACTAGATTATCTCTAAGGCCCTTCAAGCACTAATGTAAGGCCAATAGAATATGGACTGTTTCTCATATTCTTTTTGGATTACCACAGTATATAGCATAGTGCTGAATGAGTGGGTGGATGGATGGATGAATTAAGAAGAATTTATTAAGAACTTACTATATGCCAGGCACTGTGCTCAGGGATGGTAATACCAAAAAAAAAAAAAAGCAAGAAAGTTCCTGCCTTCAAAGAGTTTATATTCAGTTAGGAGAACAAAATATATATATATATATAGGAATGTTATACTAGGGTATAGTGCTTTGGGCAAAGAAATCACAGAGATGATGAATGGAGAAATATGACAGTTGACAAGTTCTTTACAAGAATGACAGTGTTAACTATTGTTCAAATTGTAGGGATAATAATGCTGGGAGTAACAACCTCATAAGGTAGTCATGAGGATCACATAAGATGATGTACATAAAGTGCTTCACAAACTGTAAAACTTTATGCATTAAGTAGGCAGTATGGCACTGTGAGTAGAGAACTGGCCATAGAGTCAGAAATAATAATAATAATAACAATAATAAAAATAATAGCTAGCATTTCTATGGCACTTTAAGGTTTGCAAAACACTTTTAACATGTTCTCATTTTATTCTCAAGACAACCCTGGGAAATAGGTGCTCTTATTATCCCCATTTTGCAAATGAGGAAACTGAGGCAGAAGAAGGTTAAGTGACTTATCTGAGGTCATGCAGCTAATAAGTGCCTGATGCAGGATTTGAACTCAGGTCTTCCTGACTCCCACTCCAGGGCTTTATCCACCTCACTTGGAAGAATGGGGATTAAGTCTAGAATCTGACACTTAATCTCTCAGTGCCCCCAAGTAATTCTGTAAGACTATAAATTTCAGAGTTGTTGCAAATCCATATCAGTTAAGAAATTTCTTCATTGGAAGTTCTCTACAGCTTTGAAATCAAAAGTCTGCTTTTTTAAAATGCTCAGTAAATGTTCGTTATTGCATGGAAGTTCATGAGTTTGGGAGGAGCAGATCCCATACAAATAAAAAAAATCAAGGGAAATACTCACTACCCATGAGTTGAAAGTGTTATAGATGGAAAATTAATGGGTGCAATCAGGTAAGGATCAAATAGAAAGATGAATTTTCACCTAAGTTGAGATTCCTGAGAGATTTCCATTAGGGCTTGGTGGGAGAGGAAAATGAGGATGGAAGGGGAAGAGTGGGAAAAGGAGGTGAAGAACAATTAAATAATTAGAGAAGGGAGACTTGAGTAGAAGAGATGATGTAACTACTGAGCATAACTGAGGAAAATCTATATAGAGACAGTAATAAGTAAATAAATGTTGTTGAAATGTGAGTATTTTTGCACCAAGTAGCTCACAGTATTAACAGTTAAAAACTATGCATAATGGCTATGTCTGGATGGTACCAAAACATCTGGGCTAAAATGGAAAATTTCAAACCCCTGTATATTTTGTTTATGTGATACTGAATGTCCAGATGTTTGGAAATAGCCAGCCAATTGACTGAGCAGTTAAAAAAAAAAAGCTATCATGGTTAAGTCACTTTTCCATTGCTTTCTGCTTTTAAAAAATGTGTGAAATATTACAGAAGACTATAACCAACCACTCCTAATAACATAAATCCTGAATTCCTGGAGCTCACAGTCCAACCATTTAAAATTGCATCAGGTTGTGATTTTATTTTTTGTACAACTTATAAGCTATCTTTTTAATGATAAGAAAGGGCAGCTAGGTGGTGCAGTGGATTGAGTGCCATGGCTAGAATCAGGAAGACTCATCTTCCTGAGTTCAAATCTGGCCTCAGATGCTTACTAGTGTGACCCTAGGCAAGTCACTTCACCCTATTTGCCTCAGTTTCCTCATCTGTAAAATGAGCTAGAGAAGGAAATGGCAAACCACTCCAGTATCTTTGCCACGAAAACACCAAATGGAGTCACAAATGGGGCCACAAATGCTCCCTATTGGGACATAACTGAAATGACTGAACAATAACAACTGATAAGAATGATTTATTTACAGAACATAGTTTAAATCACCCTTATGGCACAACTGACAAATGGACCACCACACTTAATTGTTTCAGTTGAAAAGGATGATGTGTCCTTTCTGCAGAGAAATTAACATTTTCTTCAGTGTAGTCAACATGGCTCAGTGGCAAAGACAGCTAGATTTGGAACCATAGGACACATTCTTCACATTCTGGCTCCACTAATTGCTACCTTTGTGACTTTAGGCAAGTCAATTCATCCCTGTGGATGAAATGCTCAGTTCCTCATCTATAAAATAAGCAAACTGAACTAAATTACTTCAAAAGTCCTATTCAGTCCTAAAACCATGATCTTGAGTTGCAAGACAACCGAAAATCAATGTTGCAACCAACATTTTAATATATTGTAGATCACAGCACCATCGATGGAGACTTGGAAGGTCCCTAGGAGGGACCTCAGAGGCTCTCAGCCTCATTTTACTTTCGATAAAACATCTCAATTCCTCTTCAGTTTTTGTAGTTCTACATTTTCAAGTATGCAAAGCACGTAACATAAATTACCTATTTTGAGCCTCTAAACCAGGGGTGGGGAACCTGTGGCCTCAAGGCCACATGTGGCCCTCTAGGTCCTCAAGTGTGGCCCTTTATCTGAATCCAAATCCTGGATTCCTTCTGTGAAGTTTGGATTCAGTCAAAGGCTGCACTTGAAGACCTAGAGGGCCACACATGGCCTCGACGCTGCAGGTTCCGCACCCCTGTTCTAAACAACCCTGTGGGAGAGGTATACAATGCCCATTTTACAGATAAAGAAACTGAGGTTTGAATAGTCATGTAACTATAATTATCAAAGGCAAATTTTTATTCCGGGTTTCCCTGACTCCAAATCTAATACTCTACAAATTATGCTATAATGCTTCGTAAAAAGGCCTTTGGAGCAGTCTTGAGTATTTATTTTCTCATAGGGTCATTACCTAATATTAGCCATTTCTCTGAAACTGAAATGAATACCTTAATTCCTATTAATTTCTAAGGACTACAGCTGTACCTCACATTAAAAACATCCAATATATGTAAATCTAGATTTATAGAAAAAATCAGCTAGTTAGGGACATTTCTTTGCTTTTTAAAACTTCACAGAATGAATCCATCATTTGGATTCAGCCAAAGGGCCACACTTGAGGACCCAGAGGGCCTCAAGGCCACAGGTTCCCCACCTCTGGCTTAGAGGTTCAAGATTTGGTAATTTACATTAAGTGCTTTGCATACTTGAAAACGTGGAACTATAATATTCCTTTACAGGGTTCATTTTTAAATATTAAAATTAAAATGATTTAATTCATACAATTCTGAAGAAAAGGCATCATAGTACAAAGTAAAGAATACTAGATTTGGAATCAGAGAACTGTGTTTGAATACTGTCTCTATCACACATGAACTTGGGCAAGTCACTCAAACTCTATGGGATTTATTTTCATCATCCATAAAATCAGGGCATTGGACTAATAAACTCCATTCCAGCTCTAACTCTATGATTCTATGACCCAGCGTCTAATGTATGTACATATGTACTAGCAAATGTATGCACCCAATAGAACATAGTACCATCTAAGCTCCTTTAGTACAGCATCCAGGAGAAGGTGGTCAATAGTATCAAATGCAGTAGACAGATTGAAAAGGATTAGAACTGAGAAAGCCAATCAGATGTGGCAACTAAGAAATCATTTGTAACTTTGGAGAGAGTAGCTAAATTGAACAAGGTTGAAAGCTAGATGGCAAAGAGTTGAGGAGTGAGTAAGAGGTGAGGTGTAGGAGTTTGGCCGAGAAAGGGAAGATAGACAGGACCATAATAGTGTGAGTGGATGATAAGGTCTAGTTAAATTTTCTTTTTTAAGGATGTAGGAGACTTGAGCATGATTGAAGGCAATAGAGAAGGAGCAAGTTGATAGGAAGAAGGTGAAAATTCCAGCAGAAGAGGAGAAGATGATGATTTGAGGATATAATCTGCTGGAGAAGAACAGAAAGGATAGAATTAAGTGCAGATGCACAGGGGTTGCCCTTGGCAAGGAGAAGGGCTATTTCTTTGTCAGAGACTGGAGGAGAGGGAGACAGAATGAGAGAAGATGTCATGGGATTTTAAAGTAAAGAAAATAAGAGAAGAAGGAGCTTATGTAGAAGCAAACTTCCAATCGCAGTCTCTCCTCAGTCCAGTACCAGTGGTTTTTTCTGCTATGTTACATTATTTCATAGGGTTAGATAAGCCTAGTGTAACCTCCTCCTAAAAGCCCATATGG